CGCCTGCCCCAGGTTACCCAGAGACGAGGGTACGTCGCCCTGGAAATGGGCCACACACCTCCTATCCCAGGGCCACGAGCGTCAAAGGATTTTCTGGTTCGGCTGCTCACTGTACGTGTCATAACCTCGCTGGGCGTCAGTTTCCTCATCTGTGAAATCTGTAATAATACCTGGGAGGATTGGAATTGCTCAATAAAGTCCCCAAGCCCAGCCGGAGTGGCTTAGTAGTTGACCTATGAACCAGGAGGTCATGATTCGATTCCCAGTCAGGGCATATGCCTGGGTTTCCGGCTTGATCCCCAGTAGGGGGCGTGCAGGAGGCAGCCGATCAACGATTCTCTCTCATCGTTGATGTTTCTCTCTCTCTCCCTCTCCCTTCCTCTCTGAAATCAATAAAAATACTTTTTAAAAATAAATCATAAATATGAGGCCTAGAAAGCGCTGGATGAATGGGCTAGTTCCCATTCCACAGCCACATCAGTGCTGACCTGGGTCTCCGCCCGCCTCCCAGTGGTGTCCCCAGCACAGCCTGCTCTCCACTTTGCATTTCCTCCTCAGAAACCCGCACCAGGAGCTTCTGGCCACAGGTCGGATTCAACTAACTTGCAACCCAGCTAAGCCATCTCAAGGCAACTGAACTGCCTCCTGGAACCCGAGGAAAAAACTGAACAGCAAATCGCTGGGAAGAGCAGACTCCAGATATGGGCTCTTTGGGGAACCCTGAACAGCCTCTCTCTCCTCCCCTCTCCCTCCCTCCCTAAGCCTGCTTGGTTCAGGACACCCCCGAGCTCCCTCCCTCCAGCCCACAGACCTCACTGCCATTCCTAGAGCACGCCACCTCGGGGCCTTTGCACTTGCTGTGCCCCCGCTTGTGGTTCGCTGACTCCCTCCTTCAAGTCTCTCCGCTCAGCTGTCACTCAGTGGCCCCTCCCTTGACCGGCTGATTGAATATTGCAACCCCCCATCCCACAGGCTCTGCCCACCTTGCTTGATCTTTTCCTTTTTATCTTAGTTCAGAACAAAAAAAGGATGAAACATAGCCCTTGGTTCATAACCCACTCTCTTCAGCTTTTAATGATTAATTTTAATAATAAACCCCGTGAAACCACCACCCCAAACAGAAACCAGAATCTTGGCGGTAACCTACATCTAACCATGTGGTTCCCCCACCCCAGCACCACGTCACCCCGACACCATCATCCTCATCTCGGATCCCGTGTTTATTCCTTTTGAAATTTATCATTACTTATGCGTGTGTATAATTAGTTGCTTTTAGCTTTATAGAAAGGGTGTCATGTTTATGTAAGAGGCCGTTTTCACTGGCTGTCCTGAGTTCTGTCCGTGTCGTTATGCGCGGCGCTCGCTCCTTCATTTTGACGGCCGTGTAGCGTTTCATCGTGGGAATTCATTCGTCTCTTCTCCCACAGCTGGGCACTGGGTTTGCTTCGCGATTTGGGGCACCGTGAATAGAGCCCCTATAAATATTCTCCCACGTGGCTCTTGCTGGAGATGGGCAGGCATTTCTCCAGGGTCCACACTTTAGGTAGAAGCGCTGGGTCAGGGGCCTGCACATGCTCAGCTTTAGGAGAGAAAGCCAGACTGTATTCCCACCGGGAGGCGCCAATTTACGTCCCCACCAGCAATGTGTAAGATGTCCATTTTCCCCCAGGGCACTCACACTTTATGATATATTATGTATTTTACTTAGGAACTTGTTCGTTTATTCTCTATCCCTCCCCCCACACACACACACACACTCTAAAATGTCAGCACCAGGAGGGCAGACATTTTGGACTCTTGTTCACTACGCTATCCCCAGCGCCCAGATTGGTGACTGGCACATAGTAGTTGCTCAATAAATATCTCTGGTTGTATAAACAAGGTGATGGCCCAATACAAGCCTGAGAGCTCATATTTGTACTGTGGGCCCAAGGACCAGGAGATGGGCTAATTGAACCCTCTCTCCGTTTCAATCCTCCCCGCGCCCCCAAACCAGGAAAGGACCATTGGCCAAAAGCTACTGAAGCCTAGACTCCCAGGCCAACTGAACCAGCGTTTCCGAAGGTGGGGCTGCCCTTGCAGTCATTCCCCGGGAAGCTTAGGATAAAACTCCCCAACCCATGCTGGCGTGTCTGGGCCCCACTTCGTCTTGCTCCACACTCACCCCTGCTCCATCTCTGGCCTCCTCTCTGTTGCTCTAACACACCAAGCTCTTTCCCACCCCGGGCCTTGGTGCATCCCTGTTCCCGCTGGTCTTCCTCTGCTTCGCCTATTAAGACTATGCATCTGCGGAGTCGCTGAAACGTCACCTCCTCTGAGAGGCCCTTCCTGGTTCCTGAGACCCAGTAAATCCCTGTTAGAGACCCGCGGGAGGTCTATGGCTCTGGCAACATTCCGTAAGCACACTTTGTGCGATTCTTTGGTTTGCCTCTCTCTCTCCCACTAGATTACGCTGTTTTGGTTTTCTCTATGTCTCAGCACATAGCTCAGTGCCTGCCACGTAGACAGAATCCAGTATTTGGTGACGGAGGGATGGTTGAGTAGGAGGGAAGGAGGGAGGGGCGGAGGGTACGCTCACAGATGAATGTTTAGATGAGTGAGTGAATAGAGGGATGGATAGATCATGAATAAGAGAGAAAAAAAAAGTTCATCTCTCTCTGCCGTGTTTCCATGCTGCCATAACGGTGCCCTGAGTGGCCTGGCCCGCGCTCTCAAGAACATCCACAATGCCGAGAAGAGAGGCATCTCCAGCTTCCTTTGGGTCATGTTCAAAGCCATCATCTGGTTTCTCCCTGTGGTGACGAAGCATGATTCCAGGGGCAAATTGAAATCATTGATGATCAGAGTGCGAACATCACCGTGACCGTCATTCACGTGCCACTGAGGTCAGGGTGATCCGCCCCAGATTGGATGTGGAGCTCGAACATCTAGGAAAGTGGCCGAATCACCTTCTCCTCTCTCACCAGTTTGATTTCGTCGTACTGATGACCTCAGCTAGTAGCATGGCTGCGAGGAAGCAAGACAAGAACACGCAGAAGAGAAAACCCCGGGGTTCTTTTTCTAGGGATTTAATACATACACATTTTTTTTAAGTTCATGATTGAGGGTTTGTCCTATTGGCTTATAAGTGCCTGGCACATGATAGGTCCTCAACACCCGATAACCGTCATGCACAGAGCACCAGCCACATCGTACACGACGGATAAGACACAGTCCCTGGCCTCCTGGGTGTCTCCTCTAGCAGGGGCGGCACTGAAGTGGCTAGTGGTGATACAGTGTGTCCCCTCAAGGTATGGGTAAAGGAGGAGAAGGGCAAATGGAATGAGTTCAGGGAAGGCTTCCCGGAGGAGGTGACATGGACTCAGCCCTTAAATGGCATTATACAGTCTGGTGTCTTGGTTCTTCTTTGTAACTTCCTGGTAAATTTCCATGTGACCCTGAACTAGGCTTTTCCCCACCCTGGGATCCCCCGATCCCCTTCTCTAACATAAGGTTGTTGAGCATCACAGCCTCCTTTAAGAAGAATCTCTGAAAGGCAGAGCCCTTCTTCCCAGAAAAATGCAGACATGTCTGTGTGTAAGGGAGGGCAGGGAGGCCTCCACAGACTCCCCAGGAAGCCATCGGTGGTGCCGAGGCTAAGATCCCAGAGCTCAGGGATCCTGGGGACCCACAGGCACCTCACCCTTATCCCTGCAGCGCTGGCCCTGCCCTCAGTCAGAACCCCTCTCTCTGGACTGCGCAGGCCCAAGCAGCAGAATCAGTGACCCAACCTGGAAAAGCCCATCAGGCCCGGGGCTGCGGACAGAGCAGGGGCCTGGGGAGTGGGGGGCACTCCCGCTGGCTGGGGAACCGGAGTTCTGAGAAAGCGCCCCCAAGCAGCCTGCCCATGACCTCCACTAGTTTATCACCATCTGCCCTGGGGAGGAAGGGGAGCGTGGGCCGCCCTGGGCAGGCTCCCAGACAGGACACTGACCCCCATCTGCTGCCCAGACTGGAGTTCCCGGATGCATCTTTCATCTTCCCTAATCTAAACACCCGAGGCCCGGGGGGTCCACCCCTCCCAGCTGACGTGTGTCCTCAGCTGCATCCAGCTTGCCAGCGGAGGGAGAGCGGCCATCCCATCAACACGTGAGCCGCTGCCATCACCTGCACCCCTTTCCAGCCAGCCAGCCCTCACCCAGCATTTATTGAGCACCTATTGTTTGCAAGCATCTGTGAATGAGATGAGGAGGGCTTGCAAGTCTCTGCCTCCGGGCCCAGGTCCCCCGCCACACCCCCAGCAGGATGCTGCAGCCATCCCACGCACCTAGAGCAGGTGTGGGCTTCCGGGAATTGAGCTCTGGGCTGGCTAATTGGGTTCTAGGAGAATCTGCTCTGGGTTGGTGTTTGGATGCTGCTCTTAGCTGCTGTGTGATCTGGGCCTGTTTCTTGCCTTCTCTGGGCCTCACTTCAGATTCCATGATTCCATCCGCTCTGAAATGGGCCCCACCTCACTCCCCGCCCCCAGAATAGTTGAAGAAGAGAACGCTTCTCTAGAATGGTTTTAAGATCTTTCTTTAGACCATCTCTGGGTCTTATTAATTCCGTCAAGCACTTATTGAGCACCTAGTATATGCCAGGCCCTGGACTGGGCACCGGGAATGTAAAGATGACCAAGCTTCCAGCCGGCGACCCCCGGGCACCTCACCCCATGCCTGGCGCCCTGCTTGGCGTCCGGAGACCTCCTGGTCCCAGGCGGGCCTAGCGAGGATTTAGGGCGCCCCAGGGACTCCTGTGAGGGCTCTAGGCTGCGATCTGTCTCCTCCCCTTCCTCCTCCGCCCTCTCCTCCTCCCCTCCCCTCCCCTGAGCGCGCCGCGGCCGCCTCCTACCCGCGGGATCCCGGCGGCCGGCAGCCGGCTCACGCGTCCGTCCGTCGGCGGCGTAGTCTGTCCGCGCGTGGCAAGCCCGGCGACCCGGCGCGGGCGGCTGTGTGAGGAGAGGGCGCGGAGGCTGGACCGCGGCTCTCTCTCGCCCGGGAGGCGGCGGTGCCGAAGCGCGATCGGGAGGCAGAGGAGAGGCAGAGGCGAGGCGGTGAGAGCGCGGAGCCGAGGGACCCCACCCCTGGCTCCTGCGGGCCCACGCGCCTTTGGGAGGCTGGGCTCGGAGAGGGGCTCTCGCCCCCAGGGCGGGAGCCGGGACCACCCAGCTCCGGCTGCGCCTCTCCCAGGACGCGACCCCCGAGGGGCCTGGGCCGCGCCTGCAGCGCCCGCGCAGCCCCGCGCATCCCCGCGCACCCCGCATCCCTGGCGGCGGGAGGAGCGCGCCCGGGAAGCTGAGGAGGGGGCTTCGCCGGCGGGAGTCCCCGAGCATCCGCCCCGGGCCCAGCTCTGCCTGCGGGCCTTGCCCCTGGGGGCCGCGGCGGGAACCCCCTCCACCCCCTTGCTGCCCACCCCCATCGGTTCCCCATTGTTCTCCGGCGATCGCTCTCCGGGGAGGGGAGAGGGGGTGCCGCGCTCTATTCTTAAAGGGCTCTCTCTCCTCCTTGTCTCCCGGCAGGTCGCGAGCACGAGTGGGGTGGGGCGTGCCCGCGGGCCCCCCGCCCCCTGGGCCCTCCGCGCAGCTCGGGAGCCGCAGCCGGGAGGCCGGCTGGGGACACGCCGCCCCCCTCCCCCGTGCGTTCTTCGGCCCCCCCAGGCCTTCCAGGACGCGGGGAGCAGGGCCCCGGGGGACAGGGACGCCCCTGCAGCAGGAGCCGTCGGTGGGGCGGCCCAGAGGAGGCCAGCAGCCCCGCCGGACCAGGCACAGGGCCTGGGACGCAGTTGCGAGCGCAGAGGGCTGGCTGGGCGCCGCAGGAGCAGCAGGCGGGGCCCCGCCTCCGGGGGACAGGCCCTGCGCTGACCGGGAAGAAGGACAGACCAGCCGGGGAGAGACTGGACCGAGAGCAGGGGCGGCTGCCTCACTCCCTGCGCTGGGCCGAGGGCTCCAAGGAATTGAGAGCAACGTTTGTCGTAAGAAAGACACTTGCTGTCCGAGCAGCACCAGCACCGTCACCTGAGACAGCGCCAGGAGCCTGGAACCCTCCCACACTCATGTAACTGAGGCCGCTGGGCCTCCTGGAGGCCAGGCAGCAAGGACGGAGGCCACACAGGCCTCGCTGCTTCCCTGGGGAGAGGGGACGTCCCCCGCCTGCTCCTCGGCCCAGGCCCAGGCGCTGGGCCGGTCACCGCGGGGTCCTGGCCCCCGAGGCGGCAGCGGCCATGTCCCGGCCAGGCCAGGGCGTCATGATGCAGGTGAACGGGCTGGGCTTCCCGCCGCAGAACGTGGCCCGCGTGGTGGTGTGGGAGTGGCTGAATGAGCACAACCGCTGGCGGCCCTACTCGGCCACCGTGTGCCACCACATCGAGAACGTGCTGAAGGAGGACGCCCGCGGCTCCGTGGTCCTGGGGCAGGTGGATGCCCAGCTGGTGCCCTACATCATCGACCTGCAGTCCATGCACCAGTTTCGCCAGGACACAGGTGAGCGGACTGGCCCCCCACCCCACCCCACCCCACCCGCGGGCCAGGCTGAGACACAAACGCCACCAGCATCACTCCCTCACACCACCTCTAAGGTGGGAGCCTGGGGCTTCAGGAAGGCCAGCCTGCTGATCCCACCTCCCCTCTCCCCCCCCCAAAAAGGGACAGCCTGGCCTCGTCCAGTTTAAGAGTTCAGTCCCAATCCAGCCTCTTAGTTGAGGGCCTTCGGCCAGTTACGTCATCACCTCTCCGGGGCTGTTTCCTCATCTGTAGAATGGGTTCATAGCTCTCACCGCCGTGTGAGGACTGAACAAAACTGGGCTCACTGAGCACAGAGCGTAGGGACACTGGCACTCAGTTATCGCAGTGAAAGGACTTCCCGTGCACTCCCTCACTTGATTTTTTCCCATCACGGGCAGTTACGTCTTATGACTGTGTTAGTATTAGCAGCCAACCCATGTTACAGAGCGAGCAACTGAGACTCACAGCAGCTACGTGATTTAAAGTCAGAGCTGGGATTCAAGCCCAGGCCATTGACTTCCACGGCCAACACTCTGACTGGGACCCTCTACCGGCTCCACGTGGTGGTGGTGTCGGGCGGCATGATGCTGGTGGCGTTGATGGGGGGCGGGGCGGGAATGGCGGAGGAGATAGAGTTGGTGGTGGGAGTTGTGACTGTGTTGCTGACGGCTGTGTTGGTGGTTGTCTTGGGGTTGATGAGATGGCGTGGTGGCGATGGAGAGAATGAGGCTGGTGGCAGTCTTGGTGGCGGTGTGATGGGTGACAATAGTGATCAAAATGGGGAGGTCCAGTCCCAGAGACGTGTCGTCACCGCGGAGATCTCCCCAAGTCGTTGCCCGGTGGTCTCTGTGACAAGCTGGTGGACAGTGGGGAGAGGAGAGGCCCCGCCTCGTGGAGGCGGCCGAAGAATCCTTGTCCTGTTCGATCCCAAGGGCCAGCTGGTGGGGGCTTGGGGGCCGTCCTGGGAGTCCCTGGATGGCAGGACCACATGGAGACAGTAGGACACTCCCTTCTCCCACGGACCCAGGTGGCTGTTTAAATTTACATGAATTAAAGTTAAACACAGTTTACAGTTCAGTTCCTCGGTCCTGCTAGCCCATTGCCAGTGCTCAGGAGCCACCATGGCTGACACATGGGACAGATAGATCCAGGACGGGGCCGTCATCGCCAAGTGCTGAGGGTCACTCTGCTCCAGAACACGGCGTGGCGCCCGCCGCATGGTCACCGAGGGTGGGAACGCAGGCGAACCCGTCACAAATGGTTTATTGACGTTACTTCTCAGAACATCTATGTTCCCATAACTCCAGGCTTTGACTGCGGTCACTGGTGTGCCGCGCTTTCATTCACGCCACCACATGATCGTTTATTCATTTCCTGCCGTGTGGCCAACCCTGTGCTAAGCACGAGGCCACTGCCAGGAGCCGGCCCTGAGCAGAGGGTTGCCACTGGGGGACCCCGGCTGGAGGTCCGGGTGTAGCCGGTGTAGGCGGAGAGCAAACACACACGTAATCTCACAGATAATCATCTGCCGGTCTGCGAACATGAAATAAACCTGGCCTAGGGGTGGTCACGGAAGGCTCGTTGAGGAAGTGATGTCAGAACAGGGGTTTGAAGAGTAAGCAAAGGGCGCCAGTGTTCCGGGCAGGGGAACAGTGCAAAGGCCCTGTGGCAGGAAGGAGAGGACGTTCGAATCCGTTGCGTTTGGTGCCGTAATTGTGAGGAAGGCCACACAAGAGGAGGTGGGAAGCCCGGGCTGGACGGCCACAAAAGGACTTTAACGAACAAGTCACCATCGCGTCCTCGCGCCCATCTTCCAGAGGCCAGTGCCCCTGCCGCGTGCTCTGGTTTCTCCCGGAGGCTGAGGTCGGCTGCAGGAGGCGGCTTTTCTCGCAGCTCGGAGTTTGGTGTTTTCTGCAGATTCAGAGTAGGTGCTGGATGGAAATGTTCCAGGGTCTGGTTTGGGGAGTTGGGTTCCTTAGAACAAGAGTAGGCCCCCCCGAGGCTGCCTCGCTGGCCCATTTGTCTTTGATACCCCCCCATGTTGGGGCCCTTTTCACAGCACCCCCACTTGGGTTCCTCGCTCCTCCACCCCCCCTTCAGCAGGCCCTTCCTCTCAGCCGCACCTCTGCCACAGTCAGCCTCTCCGGGTCCCCCAGAGGTCAGCTTCCTCACTCCCCCACACCCCCTCCCGGAACTGCTCACTCCACACCTGCCTGTTTGCCGGAAAAGGGAAAAAAGCCCTCATCCCTCCGGGGGAGGGAGGAAGACTGGGAACCTATGGGGCCGGTGGGGACCTAGAAAGCCTGGAAAACTGCTAGAGGGAGGGCCCGATGCCTCTCACCGGACATGCCATAGTGCGCGCCCACTTCTCCCAGGACATCTTGTCCTCATTGTTAATGGTCCAGGGAAGGCCCTCGGGCAGATGTCCTCACCTCTCCAGGCCTCAGTTTCCACATCTGTGAAATGGACAACAGTGTTGCTTTGCGAGGAAGGTTGTTGGGTTGATGGAAAGAACCAGACCTGTTATTTTATCCCACAAACCTTGACTATGTGCCTAACGTGTGCTGAATATTATGGATGCACAAGACGAGTGGCAGCTCCTAAGTCTTAAAAAGATTTTCTCTTCTCTTCTCCTCTTCTCTTCTCTTCTCTTCTCTTCTCTTCTCTTCTTTCTCTCTCTCTCTCTCTCTCTCTCTCTCTCTCTCTCTCTCTCTCTCTCTCCCTCCCTCCCTCCCCCCCACAAAACAATATAACATTGTAAAACCCAAAGCTTTCATATATGTACTGAAATAGACACAGCTTCTATCTAGATCGTGTCATTATAAAATTCTTGATACGTCCATTGAGGCTGAACTTGAACTTGGGGGATAGAGCAGCATGCCCAGCTTTGCTAGTGCCCTCACATTGGAGCCAGCCAGGGTCAGACAGGACATATTTTAGCCTGTGTGGGCCCCACAGTCTCTGTTGACACAGCTCGCCGACAGCGTATGAGCAGCCATGCACGGTGTGTAGATGAATGAATGCGGCCGTGTTCTCACTCTCAGCTCGTGAGCTGCGCAAAAGCAGGCGGAAGGCAGTGGCCTGGGCTGCCTGTGCCAACCCCTGCCCATCGTGTTCTTATCCTGCACGTGTGGCAAGCCAGTGCTGGTGCCACGCATGCCCGGCGCGGCGTATGCTGAGATGCCTGCCTGTGGTGTGTGCCGGAGTCGGCGCCCACGCGTGTGCGGGCACACACGGCCCCGGCCCACGTGCACGCCGCCCGTAGAGGAAAGCCAGGGGACAGGCTGGGACCGCAGGCCAGGGCTGCTGCTTGCTCAGCCGGCGCCCCCTCACCTCTCCCGCATGGGCTGCTGCCATTGCCCCCCACAGCAGGTGAGGTTCCCTTTGAAGCCTGGCAGGTCCATGTGGAGGGGAATGCTGTGACCCTGGGCCACATGACCCCCGTGAGGCCACAGCTTCCCTGAGGGTCATTTGCCTGCCCCAGCCCCTCCCCCGGAGCCTGGCTTTCCATGCAGCCCCCACAGCTGGACAGAGACGTGACTTAGCCACTTTCTAGGCAATTTCCAGATTCCTCCCTGGACTCCATGGGCTGGGGGCTGGGGGCAGGGCGGAGGGGCACCTTTCTGACTGCTGGTGTCTCCCATCCTCCACTCCTTCTGCGGCTGGAGGGGACGTCTGGCAGCCTCTGCCCGTTCTGTAGCTGGGACAGCTGAGGCTGGGGGAGGCCAGGCTGGGGACCGTCCACACCTGCTGTCCCCGAGGCTCAAAACACGACCGAGCCCTGACCGGTTTGGCTCAGTGGATAGAGCATCGGCCTGCAGACTCAAGGGTCCCAGGTTCGATTCTGGTTGAGGGCATGTACCTTGGTTGCAGGCACATCCCCAGTAGGGAGTGTGCAGGAGGCAGCTGATCGATGTTTCTCTCTCATCGATGTTTCTAACTCTCTATCCCTCTCCCTTCCTCTCTGTAAAAAATCAATAAAATATATTAAAATAAAATTAAAAAAAAAAAAAAAAAAAAACACGACCGAGCCGGCGCTCCCAAGCTGCCAGGCTAGAGCAACAGGTGGCCCTGCTTCAGCATCTCCCGAGCCGACACCATCCCTTGGAGGGGTGGCCTGGGCTCCACTCAGGCCTGGTCCCTGCCTTGATGGGCACATCTGTCTGAAGACACGCCCGGGCTGTTGGAGACTTGGGGAGGGGGTGCCCGGATGGAGGAACAGGCATCGCCAGGGAAAACACTGCCAGAATGTAGACTCCTAGGCAGGTCATTGTACAGAGAGAAGACTGAGGCTCAGAGAGGGTGAGTAACCTGCTCAAGGTAACACAGCCAAGCCATCCCAAGCTGGAACCCAGGCCTTGCAAACAGTTCTCAGGGATAAAGAACAAGGTGACCTTCAATGCTGGGCTGAGAAAGTCCCCTCTCCCTTCTCCCTTGAGAGCTGAGCTGGGACCTGTTGTCAGGGTTTCTAGCTCCCTAGTTGCAGGACCCTTTGGGACCCTCTCCCAGCCAAGCACGGAGGCAGGTGCTGGGCCTAACATCAGGGCGAGAGGGTCAGGCACGTTTGGGTGGGGAGGTGTCTGTCCCATGTGGTGCAGGTTCGTCCACGCATGGGTGTCGTTCATTCCCACCCGTCACACCGCCTCCATTTCCACCCTTACAGAGCCCCCCCCCCTTTGGCCTCTGGCTGCTCGTCTGGCTCCGGAGTCTCTTCTGACGCCATCAGTCCATCCTCACTTTTATTTACAATCAGAGGTGCCTGCTCAGTGCCAGGCCCTGGGCTAGGTCTGGGGACCCCTGCCTCATGGGTGTAGGAGCCCAGTGGAGGCGAAGGAAGAGAAAATGATGGGAATGGCAGTTGAGCCCTCTGACCGCGAGGCCACAGATGGCGATCGTGGCTGGCTCTGTGGCCACAAGCCCCTCCTCCTCCCCGAGCCTCAGCTCCCTGAACTAAAAGGGGAATAAGAATAGGCCGTACC